ATACGGGCCTCTGCATGTTCCTGTCGTTGAAGAGCTTGCAGCACTCTTGACAGATCTTCAATCATACGCCTCATCTCATCCATCTCTGCTTGATAGGTTTGGTTTCCATGGCCACAACCTCGTCCCCGGCCAACCATGGTGCAGAGCAAAGCGGTGAACCTGCCCTGGTACCAATTTCATGCTGCACAGAAGCTTTACGAAATAGATTTTAACAGGAACACCAAAATGCCCTGGTACTGTGGTTTCATGTCCATTCTATCTGCACCAATTATGTTCTTCCTGGCCACTACCCATCCAATCAATCAAATATTAAGCTAAGAGATAATAGCATTTTGGTGTTCCTATTTCGTAATGGATGTTCTACGAATTTTCAGTACTTATTGGCATTTGACCTATTGCACATCCTTTCCCTTGAAACTAAGGGGATGATGTGTTCTTATTCAATTTTTTCCTCAGCCATAAAAAGTAAATTATGATTGTATATAGATTTAAAGCATCTGCATACATGGAAACTGCAACTAGATAGAAATATTTTTTGGTAAAAGTTTTAAATAAAATTCTTAGGATCCGTTAAGAAATCCATCAAGGAAAGACCTTAAACAATTGTCAAGGACTATAATGTCAGAATAACACTGGCATTTTATTATTGAACAATAAATCACGGCAGGACCAACTCTTGCCGGACAAGTTAAAGTTGACCAAGCCAACTATTTCTTTGCATGAGGATTCGGCTGGGGTGCTAGCAACATTCGAAGATGCGGGTCAATAGGCAATCCCATCGCCTCAAATGCTGGATCATAAAGACTATTTTTAATTTGCCTGAAATCATAAAAACTATAATCAGTTTAAAGTTTACCAAGAACAGAAAGATGACCATTCAATAGAACTTCAAATACCTTGGATTAGGAGGAACTGAATAACTGGTGAATAGAGTTAATTCATTTTCTTGTGGTTCAAAAGTACTCCTGTTGACTTCCCTATGACTAGAAGCTGCTGAAGTCCTCTGCATTTCAGTGAAAGATGATTTCATCAGTGATAATAATACAATGTTGATTCTGAAACCCTTTCCCACGGTTAAACCGTTGCAAAACCTAATGCAATGCAGTACTGAAAAGTTGCTACCTCTGAGGATTTGGCCGGGGATGACACTTTTATTGGTCGTTTGCCATGTTGTTTTTCAGAAAACCCCTGTTCTGGTATCTCTCCCTAAAACATTTTTATTCTTCAGAACCCTTATTTATGAAAACATACTCAAGTAAAGAAACCACATATTAATAGGATTTTTCTCTAAGTGCATCGAAGAATGTTTATGTCGATTGGAGAACCCCTTTATACACAATGGTAGAGTTCTTACAATATATTATATACTGCTATCTTATTGCTTGGTGAAGACTCATGTTGGTTGGGAAGTCAAAAATCAGTGTGATCCTTATGAAGTTTCCCAATGAAAATAATGTAGGATATTTGACGATAGATTCAGAAACTTATTTGAATTGTTGAGTAAGGAAGCCTCTTACTTGCTCAGTTAGGGACTTTTGGAGTTGACTGCTCCTCTTAAAACTGCTATCACTTGTAACATTAGATTGATTCATTATCTCTTCAAGTTGGATGGGAGGAAATCTGCAAAAAAAAAAAAAAATTTCAATAAAAGAAATAATTCTGTAAGGGTTTCTTCATAAATTTAAGCGATTAACATAGGGTAAAATGTTTTGGATGTAAAAGCACCAAGAGAAGGTTGATAGATGCAGGCCAAGATCTGGTATTGCATCGTAAACCAACATCATCTTAACTATGAGGTGACCTTTGCATAGTCCAAAGTATTTTAGTTGGTTGGTGCTATCCACACACCTCTTTTTATACACACTCTTTCTATTTCCAGCCTTTTGATCGAGTGAATTGAAGGAGATCAAAGGGCAGAAATTAATAGGGTGTGAGAGGTAAAAAAAAGAGAGGAGAAGAGGAGGGGGGGGGTGCCTATTGTGTGTGTCGAGCATCACCCCTTTAGTTTCAGTGAAGGGTTTGTTTCTAATGGGCTACGTAAACAATTTGTGTTCTTTAAATGAAATATTAAGATTAGTAATATGTTCCATTCTTTTCTAAATTCCTTGTACTTACCCTGAAGGAATAAATAATACAAGCAAATAAGGATCATGCAGGTACCTAAAGGGCATCTGAGTTTTGGAAGGCGCAGAGCTGTGATGCGGAGGATCAGCTATGTTAGGCAGCACAGACGGCCTCGGCCTTATAGGGATAGGGATAGAAGGTCGTGACTTAGCCACTCCACGAGGCCTAAAAAAGACATATAGATAATCGTAAGCACACCCCTCCCATCAAGTAATCTGTTTACCAATTTCCCCCAAATTTTTACTGCAGTATTACACTTTCATATATAGATTCATAGAAGAATTAAACTTTTGATTGCTAACCTAGACTGCATGGGAGGATTAGAATTAGAATTTTGTGCCTTCCGTGCAAGGGCCGCCTTCCCTTTGTTAATTTGTTCCTGTTGTCGAGGCGGGGCCCTGCTTTTCAAAATTAAGATTGAACTGTATTACGATATGCTTTTCAACATTTTATGTTTATGGTTATCTTTACTGAATATTTATTACAGAAAAGCCATTGTTTGATATATAGGAGAAAATATAATTGGTAATGTTGCATTACCTTGCCAGAGATGATTCCAGTACCCAGATCCTAAATGCATTATATTATACAATTAAGGTTTGTGTCTATGATCGATTGTTATTTTTCTGATAAGCCGCATTTGAAAAATAAATTAGGAAAGAAGAAAGATCAGATACCCGGAATCCTCCCCTACTTGAAAAGGATTTTCAGGGACTTGGTTCATTTGTTGTGGCTGATTCAGCAATTGTAGGGTGTATTGGGGTTGGGGTCTAAATCAGATGCATACGTGTACAAGTTAATAAAATTACCATAAACAAAGATGTTTCCGTGTTCACTTTGCAATATTTGATTTATGAGTACCTTATTTGTGCAGCTCCATAGGGTACGGAGTTGTTCCCTTGTGGGTTAAAAGCTCCATAACCTTGTATAACTTGATTATGTTGGGGCCTAAGTTGAATCATCACATCAAAAATAAACATACGTCAATGTTATAAGAGAACTAAACAAAGATTGTGATTATGTCAGGTCATGTACCAAAACCCGGGTGGAATCAAGAGCTGTGTAGCAGGATTGACACTCTGGCGACAGAAGAAAGCAGCTGGCTGCTGGTTGAGGTAGGACGGCCTCTGATTCCCACCACTGTGGCCTGCCATCATCTGGTCATATAAAACAAGTATACGGCAGTAGTATCAATGTCATCAATCTTGGTGAAGTAAAATGAAACTGAAACAGTTTGGGAATTGATTTCCGCACACCCATTTTCTCTTTCTGCACATCCCTGTTTATTTCTGTCAATTGATTCTCCTTTGTTTGTTCGTTCCAATGACCAGAAATAAACGAGCGGTGTGCAGGAGAGAAAACAAGCGGAAATCACTTCTTATTTACGCTAGTCTTTGAAGGGTTAAAACAGAAAACTCACTGTGCTTGTGGCATATTGATTGGGCCCCAAAGTTAGAGACCTAAGAATCAAGCAATTTTTCATTCAATCAGAAATTATGCTTAGAAATTTATTGCAATGAATTTTTTTTTCAAAAGAATGTGATTGACATACAGAGGCAGTTGCTCCTGTTCGTGAAATGGCTCCACCATAACATCACCGACGGGCATCTGTTCGTCAAAATGTCAAAAGATAGTCAGTAGTGGTCTAATTATCAAGGCATATCATAGTTTGTAAACGACTTGACGTAGGACGGACATTTGGATGTGAAATAACCCAATTTCCGTCCTATATCCGGACTGATAATTGTTGATGCGTATGAATCACACACCATGCCGTTGGTACTTGATGAATTAGCATAATAATAACTTTTTAAATGGAAAAGCAATAATAAGTTTGAGGTATGATACACGTACCTGCACCGGACGATACGGTGGTGTACTGCTTGATATGAGAGGGTTGAAGAAGAAAGGTGTTCCTACGTTCTCGTTTTGAGGATATGGAAAATGAGGGTTAGAGGACTGATAGCTTGAAAATCCAGCAGCTCCAGGCATGAGGTTTTGAGTTGAATTTACTGGATTCAGACCGTACCAGTTATTTCCAGCTGATGATCCGAACTCTTGCTCCTCCTATGTGAAAAGTGCAAAAAAATAAATCAAAAAGTAAAATAAAAAATCATCATCAAACATCAAATTAGCATAACCCTAAAAACATCACAACCTTCTTCATAGTTAGGGTGATGCTAACATATATCTTCTTCTGAAGGTTTATACCATTACAATGTGCAGTCACACAAACTCGAAAACGAGGTTGAGAGATGCTTTATAATTATCAGAGTTCGACATGTTATGTTACATAGATTATTAGTAAAGGTCACGCATTCGAACACAAATCCACACAAATATGGGTTAAAATTGATTAGTTTGACGAAACGGATCATATTATCTGGCAAATTACCGTTCAAGTCATATTATGCTTTACTGTCTTACCATGTGTGGAGGATAGGGTTGGCATGCTCTTGGAAGTAGATGACTGAAGGTTACTTCCGGCAACGGCGGCAACAAGAAGTTCGGAGCATCAGAAATCGGAGGAAGTGAGTCTTCTGGATTAAGTTGAGCCTAATAAACATCAATGAAAAAGAAAGAAAATAAATGTTATTGCTCCCATTCAAATTTAATTAACAATGCTCATACTACTAATGCACATAATTAAGCTTGTAATATTCTCAATGGTTAGTACAACATTATATTCCCAATGTCCCAAATTGGTTAATTAGGGTTTGGAGTATGTCATATCTATGCTTTCTGTTTGTAAAAGACAATTGAATCCAAAACCAGTTTCTAATAACCAAAGCCTATACAATTATGCAATCATCATAATTTTGTTCCTTTACTAGACTAGAGCTATCTCCACCTAGGTTGTAGAACTTTATTTCGTTAGAACAATTTTTAGGTTCGTTAAACGCAATGCGTTGAACTTTAACACTACTCACGTGAGATCCACCACGTAAAAATGAATTCCAAACACTATATTCTGGTTCGTACGTACTCGATAATCTTTACTTAATTGAAGACATAATTCAAATGAGTAAACAAAATATACCATTATTTCAGGGTTACTCCCCATTGCCTCAGCATATAGATTAGAAAATGAAATCCCATTTGGTGCCAAGTTTGCAGGTTGCTCGTGGGAAGGGTTGCTAAAAAGGTTATTGAATTCTGCCTCTGTAAGGCTCTCTGTTGACCTTGTCGGATCCACAAGCTGAGGGCTATCGGTTGATGATCCCAAGTCAACAACATCTTCCTGCTACATCAACACATTACGTCGTAAAATAATTAGAAATATAAACCTGTATCACATTTACTGTTTGTTTATGTAACATTGATTATTTACTCGTGCCAAATATCATATCTCATAAACTGGTTAACTAAACTAGTGAAACAGAAAGTGTTATAAATTTAACAAAAAATTAAAAGAAAATGAGTAAGTGTTTCACTGCAGTATTGTTCTCCAAGCTGAATTGATGCTCGAATGGATCACGTCCAATGCCAGACGACTGACCACCTTCCATCTGATCACAGTTTGAAACAAGAAGTCAGCTTTATAGTATAAGTTCATACTACAAACTATATATATATATATATATTTTTTTTTTTTAAATTTTGGTTGAATTGATACTACAAATATTGCATGTGTGTGTACGTAGAGGCCAAAATTTGGTTAATTACACTGAAGAGAATTATTCATTAAAATGATTTTCGACATTATATTTTTGTTGTTCTAAGTGAGACACTCCCGTACACGAATCCAAATCTCACTTGGACAAAGCAAAACCTTCATAAGTGATGTTATATAGATTAAAACTATGTTTGGATGGGGAATTTTCAAGTCCCGGAGTTTAAGACTAAGTTAATAAAAATGGTCTCCAAAAATTGGATACAAAAGATTATAAATCATTTACCCAAACATAGCCTAACTGATCATCTTTATGCCTTAAAAAGATGATTATTCCATGCAAGTTATTTGATTAATTTAGTGTAAATTGACATGAGCAAGCATAAATTTTCTTTCATTAGAAAAGCATAAATTAACTTTTTTCTTTCTGGGGTAAAAAGGAAGCATATATTTCTTGTTATATGAAGTTAGTGGTGTTTAGCCATGCTACATGGATAAATAACCATATTATTCCTATATTACCATATAAAAACCAACACAAAAGTATTGATAAAATTAATCGACCGAACCAAAACCGAATACTTTGAGAAATAAATAATTTTTTGTATAATATATATGGGATTTGGTAGTAAAGACAAGTAATGCGTTCAAAATTACATGGCATTTATGCCATTAATTATGTTCACTAAAAAAATATTTTTTTATAGGAAAAAATTAAAAAGAAAAAAGCCATCGAACAACTAAAACTACAAAACTTTTAAAACCAAACCAATTCGCCTCAATTTACAATATATAGGGATATTTTGCTCACTACTTTCAAGTGATGGTAACGCTCACCACTCTTTTTATTATCGTTGAATATGTTTAAATTTCGAGATCTGTGTAGTAGATAAACACAAATCTTAAAATTTAACCTCACAATAAGTAGAGTGGTAAGCATTATTACCACTTGAGGGTGGTAAGAAAAATACACCCTATGTATAAGATGATAAAAATATAACTCCATTAAATACAAAAATAATTGATGAAAGGTGAGTACTTTTTTATTGTCAAAGAGGTGAGTCTTTCTGAGGTAGGATATTGTTTGACAGTGCTCATCCCACTCATGAGAGAACAATTTGTACGGTATGAATTCACCACTGTAACAGTAACTTTCTGGACCAATGATACAAGAACATGTGGAGAAATACTGATCGATGCTCATAACACAAAAACAAGTGAAAATAAGTTCATACACATTCGTATATTATTAATATGTGACGTCATATGATGGTGCATTAATACCCAGCAAGTCCTAACGAAAAACAAAAGGAGAGGACAAAAGAAAAGAAAGATTATAGGTTGGCGGAGAAGTTTTATTTTTTTAATTTTAATTGTTTTTTTAAATTCTTTTCTTTTAGTGAAAAAAGTATTTAAACTGGAGACGGGGGCCCATGAAATAGATCTGGCACACTTTTTGACAGAAGGGATACTTTGACATTGCTCAGATGGAGGCAAAGGCCAGCCACTTAAACCGATATTACCAAAGAAAATACTTTAGAAAAGAAAAGAAACCAAATCTAATAAGAACGATTATCTGCGATATATCTCATAATTTAATAAAATCTTTCAAAAATCATTTTCTAATTGAATCACAACTCATTGCAAAATACACATCAAAGAGTAAAAAACTAGAAATTAAATAGTCAATGCAAAGAGTGACCAAAATTTGAAAAAATCATGTTTGATTTTCCCGATTTTCAGAATGCAAAAGATGACAAGATTTTGAAGGAAAAAAATAAATAAAAATCAGTGGCTATGTGACTGTTTGGGGGCAGAGAAACAACTCTCTCTCTCTCTCTCTCTCTCTCTCTCTCGTTTTCATAAACTTTACTTTTGGACAACATCATACATGTAGCTGCCTGCTATCTGAAATCCTTGAAATGGATAACAAAAACTTTACATTAAAGAGAATCCAAGAAATCAAATAGATTGAATCAATCGTGCAAAAAAACCAAATCAAACCAACCCAAATAGTAATACAAATTTCAATTGGTAATTCTTATTTTGTTTAATTTTGTATGAGATTCTTGTGAATTACCTCGGAATATAGCTTCACACTCCAAAGATTTCTGCATGATAAAATGGACAATCTTTATTAGAATATGATCATTTCAATTTTGTGATGTATATCTAAAAATGTGAAATTAGACATGAAAAATTCAAACAAAATTACACAAAAATAAAATAGATGTACTGGTGGTACTCTGGCCTAGGGCATGCAGTAACCTTCTAGCTATAGGAGAAAGGGAAGAATGATGGGGATGGTGACTGATTAAGGAGTGAAAGGGAAAGTGAATACCTCTAGCTAGTTGTTAAACGGGAAGACAATCACAATATAAAATTCATTAGTTGTTTGTATCCTCAGATGGGTGAGAGCTATAGCTTATTTATAGCCAAACAAACCAATATGTGTCACAAAAATAAAGGAGGTTTGCTGGTAAATTTTTTTTAAACATTTTCCGAACTCAGAAAATAAAATTAAGTGTGACATATTTTCATTTTCTAATCTGGTAATTAGTGGGAGGCTTATCTTTAAGACACTAAAAATGTTACAAAGAACACACTTTTTTTTTTTGGATTTCGCACGATAAAAGTGTTTTGATATATGACTATTTGTGCATAAATTTTTATTTTCAAAATGGTGCATTTCGCACGCTTTATACTGCTTATATATACACTACATGTAAAATTTACCAGGAATATGGAGTACTAAATAAACATAGTGGAAATAGTGCTTCTCTTTTTGAAACGTGTACGTAACTATCAGTTCAAATGATTGATTAACTTCAAATACTTACGCGTGTCCATAAACGTATATTTCTTTAGTCCATTAGTATGTCACATTGATCATGTACTTTCGATACTTATGCGTGTCAATTAACATTTTGTTTCCTCAACCTCATCCACAATTCATTATTATACTTGAGTTTTGTATGGAAAGTCTCATTTGTTAATTCACATAACATAAATTCCAATGGGATTAATTAATTGATGCTTAAGCACATATTTTCCACAATGTTATTTAATAACCATAATAAAGGAAATTCTCTTTTACATCACATTATGTGGATGGGTGTGGTTTGGGGGGTTTATTAGTGTAATGGTCCTGGAGGAGATTGAAACTTTTGCCATTGTTCTATCACGATGCATACTCAGGCTCATATAATTCTTTATCATGCTTAATTATTTGAATTTGGATAGGAAAGTGTTATTGGCACTCCAAAAATCTCATTCTACACTGCTCACAAGTGTATTTTTTTTTCCAAATATAGAAAGTTTGGAGTGTAGAATGAGTTGGAGTGTCAATAACAATTCCCTTTGTATATAATATATATATATATATATATATAATTTCTTTAGTGATTTTTATAATGAGTAATTAGAAGATTAAATTTATAAGCCAAATAATGTGTCACTAATAAAAAAATTAATTTCCGTAGCATTACCTTTTTATAATTTCCCTAGGTAAATGAGTGAAAAGCACAATGTTAACTTTGAAACTTTGTGTGGTAGTACAAAGCAAGACATTGAGTAAAAAACATTGGCCAATCCGGGTGTTTGCATGCATGTACAAGTGTAACCTTGGTTTCAGTGGACTTAATAAAAGTGCCGCTCAAGGCCAAAGGACGAAAGTGAACCACACGAGTTTCTTCACACCCTCCTTTTATTTTGAATTTGAAATCAATTAAAATGGCCAGATTTTGTAACTGAAAGCACTCAGAGTCTTTTGCCACGCCATTGGCCCCGTAGCTTTTCCTTAAATATGCATGCATGGGAAATTTGTCTTCTAATTGTTCCTTGTTTTTACATTTGTAACAAAGTTCTTGTACATAAAAATATGCCTTCTCCAGTCAACTTTAGTTCATTGGCCCAGACGTGAAGGTTGTTCGTAGAAGATAAGGATGAG